GGAATGCAAGCTGGTGTAGCCATTCTGGAAAACAGTATGGAGGGTCCTCAAAAAGGTGAAAATAGAGCTACCCTATGACCCAGCAATTGCACTACTGGGTATTCACCCCAAAGATACAAATGTACTGATCCGAAGAGGTACATGCACCCCAAGGTTTATAGCAGCAATGTCCACAATAGCCGAACTATGGAAAGAGTCAAGATGTCCATCAACAGATGAATGGATTAAAGAAGATGTGGTGTGTATACACACACACACACACACACACACACAGTGGAATATTATGCAGCCATCAAAAAAAACAAAAACGAAATCTTGCCATTTGCAACGATGTGGATGGAACTGGAGGGTATTATGCTGAGCGAAATAAGTCAATCAGAGAAAGACATGTATCATATGGTCTCACTGATATGAGGAATTCTTAAGCTCAGGACACAAACTGAGGGTTGCTGGAGTGGTGGGGGGTGGGAGGGATGGGGTGGCTGGGTGATAGACACTGGGGACGGTATGTGCTATGGTGAGCGCTGTGAATTGTGCAACACTGTTGAATCACAGACCTGTACCTCTGAAACAAATAATACATTATATGTTAAAAAAAAAAAAAAAGAAGAAGAAGATAGTAGGAAGGGAAAAATGAAGGGGGGAATCAGAGAGGGAGATGAACCATGAGACTATGGACTCTGAGAAACAAACTGAGGGTTCTAGAGGGGAGGTGCTTGGGGGATGGGTTAGCCTGGTGATGGGTATTAAGGAGGGCATGTATTGCATGGAGTACTGGGTGTTATATGAAAACAATGAATCATGGAACACTACATCAAAAACTAATGATGTAATGTATGATGACTAACATAACATAATACAATAAAATTTAAAAAACTAATGATATCTGGTGATTAACATAATAAAATTAAAGAAAAAAAGAAACATCATAGCAAAAAAAAAAAGGAAGATGACACTAAGAAATGGAAATACATTCTACGCTCATGGATTAGAGAACAAATATTGTTAAAATGTCTATACTAAGGGCTCCTGAGTGGCTCAGTAGGTTAAACGTCTGCCTTTGGCTCAGGTCATGATCCCAGGGTTCTGGGATCAACTCACATCGGACTCCTTTTCAGCAGGGCACCTGCTTCTCCCTCTGCCTGCTGCTCCCCCTGCTTGTGCTCTCTCTCTGATAAATAAATAAATAAATAAATAAATACATACATCTTTAAAAAAATAAACTAAATATGAGACCTGAAACCCCCATAAAAATCCTAGAAGAGAAGAGAGGCAGTAACTTCATTGTCACTGGCCACAGCAACTTTTTTCTAGATATGTCTCCTGTCGTAAGGGAAACAAAAGCAAAAATAAAATATTGGGACCACATCAAAATAAAAAGCTTCTGCACAGTGAAGGAAACAATCAACAAAACTAAAAGGCAAGCTACAGAATGGTAGAAGACATGGGTTACTATCCAAAATATATAAAGAACTTATACAACTCAACACCCAAAAAACAAATAATTCAATCATAAAATGGGCAGAAGACATGAACAGACATTACTCCAAAGAAGACATTCAGATGGCCAACAGACACATCAAAAGATGTTCATCATCACTTACCATCAGGGAAATGCAAATTAAAACTACAATGAGATATCACCTCATACCTGTCAGAATGGCCAAAATCAACAACACAAGAAAAACAGTGTTGGCGAGGATGTGGAGAAAGGGGAAGCCTATTGCACTGTTAGTGGGAATGCAGACTGGTGCAGTCACTTGAAAATAGTATGGAGGTTCATTGAAAAATTAAAAATAGAACTACCCTAAGATCCAGCAATTGCACTACTGGGTATTTACCCAAAGAACACAAAAACACTAATTCAAAGGGATACATGCACCCCTGTGTTTACTGTAGCTTTATTTACAATAGCCAAGATATGGAAGCAGCCCAAGAGTCCATCAACTGATGAATGGATAAAGAAGATGTGGTATATACACACACACACACACTATGGAATATTATTCAGTCATTAAAAAAAGAATGAAATCTTGCCATTTGCAACAACCTGGATGGAGCTAGAGAGTATAATACTATGGGAAGTAAGTCAGTCAAAGAAAGACAAATACCATATAATTTCACTCCTATGTGGAACTTAAGAAAAAAAACAAATGAGCAAAGGGAAAAAAAAGAGAGAGAAATCAAGAAACAGACTCTTAATTATAGAGAACAAACTGATGTTACCAGAGGGGAGGTGGGTGAGGGGATGGGGTGAAATAGGTGATGGAGATTAAGGAGTGTACTTGGTGTGATGAGCACCAGGTAATGTATGGAAGTGTTGAATTGTACACCTGAAACTAATATTACACTGTATGTTAAGTAACTGGAATTAAAATAAAAACTTTAAAAAAAGAATAAACTTCATGAAATACCTCTTCAGCTTTGAGTAGGTGATTTTTTTTAATGTGCAAAATACAGGGGACAAAAATTATTATGCAAATAAAACACTTTTCCTCATTTATTTAAAAATATTTACCCAGTGCCTATTATATGCCTGACACTCTTCTAAACACAGGACATACTGTACTAAACAAAACTTAGACAAAAATTCCCAACTTATTTTCTTTATTTTCTTGTCAAAATCATTAATAAAATGCATTAAGAAATAAAATAGTAATTATAGTTACCAACAATTTAATACATCATAAAATTTCATTACTTAAAGTTACTAATTGTTAACCAGAAAATAAATTTTGTATCTCTATTAATATGGAAAAGAATAAATTGAGAAGAATAATTTTGGCCATGAGATAAATAGGAAATGTTTAGCTTTCTTTAAAAAAAAATCTAGCGAGATTTATAAAGAGCTTATCAAACTCAACACCCAAAAAACAAATAATCCACTGAAGAAATGGGCAGAAGACATGAACAGACATTTCTGCAAAGAAGACATACAAATGGCCAACAGACACATGAAAAAATGCTCCACAACACTTGGCATCAAGGAAATACAAATCAAAACCACAATGAGATACCACCTCACACAAGTCAGAATGGCTAAAATTAAAAGTCAGGAAACAACAAATGTTGGTGAGGTTGCGGGGAAAGGGGAACCCTCTTATACTCCTGGTGGAAATGCAAGCTGGTACAGGCACTCTGGAAAACAGTATGGAGGTTCCTCAAAAAGTTGAAAATAGAGCTACCCTACGATCCAGCAATTGCACTATTGGGTATCCCAAAGGATACAAACACAGAGATCCCAAGGGGCACCTGCACCCCAATGTTTATAGCAGCAACGTCCACAATAGCCAAACTATGGAAAGAGCTCAGATGTCCATCAACAGATAAATGGATAAAGAAGAGGTGGTATATATACACAATAGAATATTACTCAGCCATCAAAAAAATGAAATCTTACCATTTGCAATGACATGGATGGAACTAGAGGGTATTATGCTAAGGGAAATAAGTCAATCAGAGAAAGACAATTATCATATGATTTTACTGATATGTGGGATTTAAGAAACAAAACAGAGGATCTTAGGGGAAGAGAGGGAAAAATAAAATAAGATGAAATCAGAGAGGGAGACAAACCATAAGAGACTCTTAACTCTATAGTTAAACAATCTGAGGGTTGCTGGAGGCGAGGTGGGTGGGGATGATGGGCATTGAGGAGGGCATGTGATGTAATGAGCACTGGGTATTATATGCAAGTGATGAATCAATGAACTCTACCTCTGAAATTGATAATACACTATATGTTAATTAATAGAATTTAAATAATTTTTAAAAAAAATCTGGCAGAACTAATACTGCATATGTTACCTAAATTGAATTTAAATAAAGAGTATTTTTAAAATCTGGCATTTTTTAGATCCTATTATTAAGACTGATTTAGACAGAAAAAATATTAATATTTAATTAACATATATCTATACAAACATATTTGTATAAACATAGGAAAGAACTGTAAAGGATACATAAAAATTTGTTTCCAACAGATACTTCTGTATGGGAGGGAGTGCAATGAGTCAGAGGGAGAGATGAGTTTTCCTTTTTTATACTATATAATTATTCAAAATGGAGTCTGAGTGATTTTTGCACTCCTATGCTTCATGGTACGTATCAAACAAAAAAGAGAGAGAGAAAGACTGTTACGAATAAAATTTGTAAAATAAAATAACAAGACTGACTATGCAAAGACCCAGAATTTTCCAATTGTGGATAATAAAACAATTATGGCCTAAAATCAAATGATATTGCAAGAAAATGACTGTAAAATTAAGTGAGCTCAATGACTCACCAAAGGTAAAGAGACAAGTAGAGAAAACCCAGGGACATTATCAAGTTTAGATAGTGTACTAGTAACACACAAGCAGGCAGAAAAATTCATTTCAGTCTGCAATGTGTAAAAACCAGGATGCCTGGGTTCCTCTCACTAAGCACTTGAAAGGTAGTAATTTCTTTGAGGTTTGGATTGATTTAAATTGAGGTTTGACATCACCTTTGATCCTAATTGGTGAAGTTTTAGTTCAATTTGGGAAAGGTTATGAGAAATGTGACTTTGAGGGGAACAAAGGTGATAATGATGATGATCGATAATGACGATGATGACAACGACTAGTTTCTCACAATTGTAAATGTTTATTTTTATCTTAGATAAATTCAAGCTGTCAGCCATACTTAATGAGTATGACTAGTCTGAGAACTTGATAGATTTCTAAAAGTGATTTTTTCTATTATTCTATACTTTTCAACAGCATATTTTAATAATCATCCGGTAAACCATCCACTTCCTGTCAAGCACAGAGTAGAGGTGATGAGAGGTAGGACAAAGCAAATACAGTAGCATTCAATAACCAACACCTCCAATGTAAAACAAAACAAGAGAGATAAAATTTTATTACTATTATTATTATCGTCATCATTAGTTTGTTATAACAGGATCTGCTAAGACCTGCATATCATGTTGGTCATTGTATCTTTCAAAATTTCTGGTTTTTAATATAACATGTTACCTGAAAACTTTATGCTGGTCTCCAGACCTGATACTTGCAGCTCGGTCATTGGGAAAGGCTATCAGTGCACCCCTCATTGACTTTTTACTTATGCGATGATTGTGAAGGCATGTCATGGCTGATTGAAGCATTGTAACAGGTGCACGGTCCTTGTATTTTGGCAAGTCTCTAACCACAAACTGTCCCGTAGGATTACTGACCAAAGGGGATATACCTTTTATGGAATTGAATATTAAGTTAAATACAGTTTCTTGAATTTCAGCTTTCCAAATAATATCCATGTATTAATACACTACACTGTTGGTTCTAACTTAAAACTAAATCCCTAAAAAAACACATTCAGAAAATACAAATAATTCATCTAATAAATGGACCTACACAAGACAATTTCGAAAATATTGCATACATAAAAAAGAAAACATAGTAACTTGAAGGAATGGGTTAGCCTATGTGACATAAGCTTTTATAGATCAAAGAGAGCTGAATATCAGCAATTTCATATGGCTCAATGTATAAAAGATAATTGAGTATTACAGGAAATAGCAACAAGATAATCCATGGAATGGTCAAAACTAGTTTATATTAGAGACTCAAACCAAAATGTAGGAGAATATAAAAACCAATAAAATACTTAATTTTATAGATCACTAAACCAGTGCTACGCAAATTGTAATCCTCAAAATGGCAGCATCAGCAACTGTCAGGGACATGTTAGAAATGCAAATCTTTGGGTTCTACCAAAGACCTATTTAAGAATCAGTTCTGGGATACAGACCAGTGAGATCTATTTTAACCAGCCTTCTAAGTGATTTTGATGCATTCATAAGGTAAGTACCACAAGATCAGACCACATTTGATACACATAACTAAGCAATCGGTGTGCTAAAATAATCCTATATAACCTTAATTTAAAAAAATATAAGTGTCCACATTAGCTTACCAGGATTAATTTTCATCACAACTTTCTTGGTGGAAGGTTTGCAGACGCTCTTGAAATCTAAATATATTTGATGAAAAGGCTTTAGCGATGACTGCAAATTTTCATCTGCCACTGAGCCAATAATCTCTATCAATTGCTTCACTTTAAAGACTCCTACTTGATGTGGAATGAATGAACATGTCACAGTCTAAAAAAAGAAAAAGTAACCAATTGCTATAGGCTGAATGTTTGTGAATCCCCAAAACTCACATGTTTAAACCTAATGCCCAATGTGATGGAATTAGGAGATAGGGCCTTTGGGAGGGCCCTTACCTGACCATGCTGGCACCTTGATCTAGGACTTCTAGCCTACAGTACTGTGAGAAATAAATTTCTGTTGCTTATAAACCATGCAATCTATGGTATTTTGTTTTAGCAGTCCAAATGGATTACAAAAATAATATTAAACTGTTGGAAAAAATAAAAAGCAAATAAAAAAACTTTTTTTTTAATTTTTAAAGGAGAGCTAGTCCATCACCATAATATAAAAGTAGCTTAGAAATACCACATACAGCATTGACAAGCCTTTAAGATATATATTATTGGAAAAATATTTAAGAAAAAATTAAGAACAATGTTATTGAAGCACCTCCAGAATAGCAAATCAAGGATCTCCAAATATCTACTCCTCTACAAGGGAAAGAAACCACTGGAATAACTGTCAAAATCAACTTTACACATATTTTAAAATTACCCAAAAGCTTATAAAAATCCAAGGAGTATTTAAGAAAAACATAGCTGATCAGCCATCAGAAAGGATGAATACCTACCATTTACATCAACATGGATGAAACTGGAGGGTATCACGCTAAGTGAAATAACTCAATCAGAGAAAGACAATTATCATGTGGTTTCACTCATATGTGGAATATAAGAAATAGCACAGAGGATCATAGGGGAAGGGAGGGAAAACCGAATGGGAAGAAATCAGAGAGGGAGACAAACCATGAGACTTGACTCTGGGAAACACACTGAGGGTTGCAGAAAGGGACGTGGGTGGGGGGATGGGGTAACTGGGTGATGGGCATTAAGGAGGGCATGTGATGTAATGAGCACTGGGTGTTATAAGCAACTAATGAATCACTGAACACTACACCAAAAACTACTGATGTACTATATACTGGCTAATTGAATTTAAATAAAATTTTTAAAATAGCTGAATCTCTGAAAGAATAACAGGTTTCGTGTCATTTTTATACACTGTAATCCCATCCTCCTCTTCCCGGTTTTGAGCTCTCCTTGAAAAACAACAGCCTTGTAACTATGGCAGCTGTAAAAACTATTAGCCTAGCAACCAGGGAGGGAAAAGATTGCGTTTGGAGCTCTCCAAAAATCCTATCCCCAGAGAATTGTCCCTATTTGTCCTGTCTAGAAGCTAGCTAAAAAGCCTACTATAAGGGTATTTTTTTTTTTAAGATTTTATTTACTTGACAGAGAGAGAAGGAACACAAGCAGGGAGAGCAGCAGAGGGAGAGGGAGAAGCAGGCCCCCTGCAGAGCAGGGAGCCTAATGCGGGGCTCGATCCCAGGACCCCGGGATCATGAGCTGAGCCGCTGAAGTCAGACGCCACCCAGGTGCCCCAGGGTATTATTTTTAATTGACCTGGTTTGGGGCTCATTCTTTGTGAACAACTCTCTCCCCCCAGTTTTGTACCCTCTTCCCCTCCCCCTCATCAAAAAATCAGCAGCAATTGCTAAACATCACAGCAACTTGAAGTAGCATTACCATATAAGGCCAACAAGAGGCAAAACAAAAAAGAAAAAAGGAAAATAAAAACACAAAATATTCAGAGGATATTTGAAAAGCTCTGACATATTCCTGGGAATCTAGACCACCACACACATGTGTAGGACACTGTACATGCCCAGGAAAGATTTGAGAAAGCTCTAATTTCTGACATCTGGCTGACTTTGAGACTCTGTACAAGGTGAAATTAAAGGCCAATAAAAGCTATAAAATACCTGACAGAACAATGAAGATATGCCTCACCCAATACATTTACACAAAGGCTCTTGGCAAAGGCTGTGAGACTTACCGATTCAAGGAATTTAAGAGAAGCTCTGCCCAATCATTAGCTGACCCCTAAATTAACTGAGCAGATCCTTGATTGGCTGCACATAACAAAGAAAACAACATTTACAGACTCAGTCTACAAAGTTACTAAAGAAAAAGAACAACAAAAACAAAGAGCAATGACAATAAATCTTGAGAGCTATCTGATTTGAGTTGCCAAATTATATCATTTAAAATGCCCAGTTTTCAACAAAAAAAAATATGGGACACAAAAAGAAAGAGGAAAGTATGGCCAACACACAGAAAAAATGCAATAAATAGAAACTGTGCCCGAAGAAACCCAAATGTTGAATTTATTAGACAAAGATGATAAGTTGACTATTATAAATATGCTCAAAGAACTAATGGAAAATATAACTAAAGAATTAAAGGAAGACACCAAAAGCAAAGGCAACAAAAGTAAAAATAAACAATAAATAAAGTGGGACTTCATCAAACTAAAAAGCTTCTGTAGAGCAAAGGAAACCATCAACAAAATGAAAAGGCAACCCATGGGATGGGAAAAAATATCACTCATTAATCATCATCACTCAACATTACTAATCATCAGGGAAATGCAAATCAAAACCACAATAAAGTATCATGGCACATCTGTCAAAATCACTATTATCAAAAAGACAAGAAAGATCAAGTGTTTAGGAATAAAATAAAAACAAAACCTTGACATTTTTGACAACACAGGTGTACTTTGAGGGCATTATGCTAAGTGAAATAAGTCAGACACAGAAAGACAAATACCGTATGAACTCACTTATATGTGGGATCTAAAAACAAAAAACAAACAAAAAAAAACCAAGCTCATATATACACAGTATAGACTGGTGGTAGCCAAGACAAGGGGAGGCAGGTGGGGGAAATGGATGAAGGGGGTCAAAAGGTACAAATTTCCAGTTATAGAATAAGTAAGTCATGAGGATATAACGTACAGCATAGTGACTAGAGTTAATACTATATCACATATTTGAAAGTTGCTACAAGAGTAAATCTTAAGAGTTTTTATCACAAGAAAAAAATTTGTAACTATGTATAGTGATAGATATTAAATAGACTTATTATGGTGATCATTTCCCAATATATATAAATTATCATTACATTGTACACTTGAAACTAATGCTATGTCAATTATATCTCAATAAAAAAATTAAAAAAGGTATGAAAACATCTCAAAAAATAGAGACTATCAATAAAGTATAGAAATTGTTAAAAAGAACAAATAAAGAGAAGGAAATATGGAAAACTCACAAATATGTAGAAGTTAAACATTACACTCCTAAGTAACCAATGGGTCAAAGAAATCTCAGGGGAAATTAGAGAATACCTTGAGATGAAGGAAAACTATAACACAACATGTCAAAACTCATGGAATACAGCAAAAGCTGTAATTAGAAGTAAATTTAAGGGGCGCCTGGGTGGCTCAGTGGGTTAAGCGTCTGCCTTTGGCTCAGGTCATGACCCCAGGGTCCTGGGATCCCTGCTCAGCGGGGAGTCTGCTTCTCTCTCTTTCCCCCCCCACGTGTACGCACACGCTCTCTCGCACACTCTCCTGTCAAAAATAAATAAATATTTTTTTAACAAGGTTTAAAAAGGGACGCGTGGGGGGTGCCTGGGTGGCTCAGTTGTTAAGCGTCTGCCTTCGGCTCAGGTCATGATCCCAGAGTCCTGGGATCGAGCCCCACATCGGGCTCCCCGTTGCTCAGAGCCCCTGCTTGTGTTCCTGCTCTCACTCTCTCTCTCTCTCTGTCAAATAAATAAATAAAATCAAAAAAAAAAAGGGGGGGATGCATGGGTGGCTCAGTCAGTTGAGCATCTACCCTCGGCTCAGGTCATGATCCCTGGGTCCTGGAATCCAGTGCCGCATCAGGCTCCCTGCTCAGTGGAAAGCCTGCTTCTCCCTCTCCCTCTGCTGCTCCCCCTGCATGTGCTCTCTCTCTGACAAATAAATAAAATCTTAAAAAAAAATTTTTAAGATAAAATAAGAAATAAAAGGTTTGAAAAAATGAAATAAATTTAAGAGGGCTTTAAGCAATAACCTAAACTTCCACCTTAGGAAATAGAAAAAAGAAGTAAGCCCAAAGTGAAGAGAAGAAAAGGAATAATAAAGACAAAAGCAGTAATACATGAAATAGAGAGCTGAAAGCAACAGAGACAATCAACAAATCTGAAACTGTCTTTGAAATGATCAACAGTAATGGAAAATCATTAGCTAGACTCACCAAGCAAAAAACAAAAAAAGAGACTCAATTTGCTACAATTAAGAATGATAGAGAGAATATCACTGTCAATAATAAAAAGTGAGGGAACAGGGCGCCTTGGTGGCTCAGTCGTTAAGCACTGGCGTTTGGCTCAGGTCATGATCCCGGGGTCCTGGGATCGAGCCCCTCATTGGGCTCCCTGCTCAGAGGGAAGCCTGCTTCTCTCTCTCCCTCTGCCTGCCGCTCCCCCTGCTTGTGTGCTCTCTTTCTCTCAATCTTTCTGTCAAATAAATAAAAATAAAATCTTTTTAAAAAAAGATAAAAATAGAACTATCCTGAGATCCAGCAACTGCACTACTGGATATTTACCCAAAGAATACAAAAACACTAATTCAAAAGGATATATACATTTCTATGTTTATTGCAGCATTATTTATTATAGCCAAATCATGGAAGCAGTCCAAGTGCCCATCAATAGGTGAATGGACAAAGATGCCATATATATATATACACACACACACACACACACACATACACACAATGGAATATTACTGAGACATTAAAAAGAATGAAATCTTACCATTTGCAACAACATGGATAGAGTTAGAGTATAATGCTCAGCAAAATAAATCAGTCAGAGAAAGACAAATACCACATGATTTCACTCATATGTGGAATTTAAGAAACAAATTGAGCAAAGGAAAAAGAGAGAGACACAAATGAAGAAACAGACCCTTAACTAAAGAGTACACACTGATGGTTACCAGAGGGGAGGTGGATGGGGGGTGGATGAAACAGGTGATGGGGAGTAAGGAGGGCACTTACCATGATGAGCACTGAGTAATATACAGAAGTGTTGAATCACTATATTATACCCCTGAAA